TTTTTAATGTTCTTGAAGAGTTTGTTGTTCATCAGCCACGGTTTTGTTTTTCTTACAGCATTGTGGAGGCAAGGTAGATGAATGCCTTGAGTTTTGCGCTAACTCCCATATAATTTACTTGGGACTCGGGGAGGCACCAGCCCATGAGGAGGTGTTTTCGGCTCAATTTCTTGGGGACTGTGATGATAAACAGGCAGTGCAAGACCTAAAGGACTATAGGTAAGTTTCTCTGCTCGGGTGTTTGCTCGGCCTGACTCATCGGTTTCGAACGTCGTGTGTGACACATGTTTTGTGTTTCAGGATAAACATTAAATCTCTCTACACACCAGAGTTTAACCCTGCCGATATTCTCAATCGGAAGAGTACCTGGCAGCAAATGGCGGTGCTGTGAGTATTTTATTCGCCTGTACATATCCCCGAAACTAGAAGGCAAAGTGCCCCCCTCCCGCCCCCTCTCGACCGGTCGGCAGGGGTCTTGGTTTACAATTGGAATTCAAAGCGAGCCAAATTCACGCGTCATGGGGACCCTATCACAGTGATAAACGAATTTACTTCAACGTCGATCCGATGCCGATTCGACGTCAAAATGTCGAATAAACGTCATCTTGTCCCCCAAATCCACATCTTTTTGGTGTTTGGACGTCGATTCTACGTGGAATGCACGTTTCTATTTCCCACTGCGTGTGTGACACAAGGCAGCCTTTGCCCGCCCGAGCCCCGAGGGCGGGCCGCGAGCTACACAGCTGCTTCGCGGGTTCGCCTATCGTCACAGGCGCAACCGACGCGACGTGGCCTGTCTTCTATTTATTCGCTCTGGCATGACGGAAATGTGGGTGGCTACAATAGAAAAGTATTTGGGAACTTTTTTGAAAACTTGTGGAGGGGACCTCTTTGCGTCGCGTTGGCTCGGCATGCAGTCCCATGGGTCCCGGTTTTGTCGTGTTTTACCCGTTCTTTACCAACACCACATCTTCACTGGTAAAACAAGTGTTTAATTTTTCACTTCAATTGACGTTTAAGTTCAAGTGTGCATTTTCTAGACACTTTATGGTGTCTAACTATGTTATACGTTATACGTGTGCAACTTGAGTTAAACACCATGTAATGTGCAAAATCACAACTTGCACACGTTGGTGAGCAAATATTTCGCACTTGTTTTACCAGTGTTCTTCGTGTTCTAGAGGACGAGTACAGTAGGGGGTGGCGTGTAATTTAGAGGCCCTTATACATCTTAGAATCCACTTACAGACCTATGGTTGTAATGTTACTAGACATCGCTGCGAATTAAGTCGCACAGCTGCTGGACACCCCCGCTTTGCAGTGTACTTGTTCTTGTTATAGACCGTACAGAAAGAACGTCCGTATTTCTCAGATGCGTTCTGTAGTTTTCAGTTTTGAAATGGTTTTATTGAAGTCAAATTAAAATACATTTGGGTTTTACATAGGTGTGCTGTTGCCCGTAGGCCTTACAGTATTTGCTTATATTAATTAATTCGTTCTGTAAACTCAGAGCTTGGCGCCTGCGAGGCTTGGGGTAGGCCATCCCGCAGTACACGCATGCACGGCAGGCAAGATGTGGACTACCGTCCAGGTGCTCTGGGAGCCTGCACTGGCTCTACTTGGCAGTTTCGTAACGGCAAATGACAGACGCACTCGCTGGGTGAACCCACTACAATAAGGGCGATACATTGAGTCAAAAATTACCCCTGCAACAGTCCACGACGAAACGCCTGCCGGTTGCTGCCGGCTGGTTAGATGGGGGGGG